AAGAAAGAACGAACAGACATACAAACGTCAACAAACACAAGGTTACAACAAGCGACATAGAGCGACATGTTTGTCTGACCTGAGTCCTGGAGAAACAGTTTGGTTGCCAGAAATGAGTTCTCCAGCAGTTGTTGTTTCCAAGTCACCCGAACCAAGATCATATATTGTGCAAACGGAAAAAGGCACGGTGAGAAGAAATAGACGACAAGTAGTACCCAGTCCAAAGGAACCAGTTATGAGAGAATCACAACCTACGAACGAGAGTACGAGTGAGAACATTTCATGTCCCAATAGTACGTCCGACAATGTCGTGAGAACTCGTTCAGGACGTGTTGTTGTACCGCCTAATAGACTCAATTTGTGAACTTATATGATTGACGAACTGAAACAATTATAATTTAGCAATTAGAAACAATTATAAATATTAAAGAACACTTAGATTAAAATTAGAAAAAAACAAAAAAAAGAACGCATTTAGAATTAAGTAATTTAATGACATTTAAGAGACATAAAATCTTATCTTCGAAAAGGAGATGTGTGGTCATTTGTAAGTTAATTGTTTGCTACATGATAATTAGGTGTTATTGTAATTAGTATATAATGCATGGTTGAACATGTAGTTTTAGTTCTTAAAATAATAATATATCGAGGACTTTACATCCTTCTTCAGTCAAAACTGGCGATGTGACGTTTGCCACCCGATTTGTTGCAGCTTATATGTTCCTGAAAGTGAAAGGTAGTCATCCACTGACCTACCAGCATCTAACTTTGCAAATGTTTGAAAGTGCAAAAAGGAATGAAGGAATGGTTGATCAGAATATATTCAAGACGGCTAAACGGTACAGCTTTGATAGTGTATATTTTGACGAATGCAACATCGAGTTATTGGAGAAATATATAACGTACATAAGACCCGTTCTTACACCCACTTTCGAATATGTGTTGATAAATCGAAATGGTAAAAAATTTCAGAAACTCAGATCTTTTCAGTGTGTTGGTGTTTGAAGCTATCAGAAAATACATTTACCCAACTAGATACAGACAGATCATCGAGACGGAAAGTGTACACATTCTCTTACCAAACAAACAGAAATGGATATCTGAAGACCAAAAGCATAGCTCTAACGTTGCCCGTGTTCACAATCAAAAGAAAAGATCTCGGGAAGTAGCGATGAGAGGATGCCAGTGCATGCAAAAATTACTTGACAGAAGTAATAGTTCACAGATCGAATACGAAAAGCAACAGCAATCATCATCTGAGCAAGAGCATGTGTGCCAAGACATTGCAACCACTACAACCCACAAATTAGCGAACGGCGTTCAGGTGTTTGCTTTACATCTGAAGAAGACAATTGTATACGATTGGGCATTGGAACATTTGGTTTACGTTGGTCAACAATATATTACGTCATCCGGAATATAATTTTAATGCATGTCGTGTTCCAAATACTTTAAGTAAGAGGGCTGAAGCCTTAAAATTAGTGTGACACCTTAATGTACAGCATTAATTGCTTTTGCTATAATTATAAGTATGAAATGAAAGAAATTTTGTAACAATTAATACAAATGCATTACAAATGTCAATTATATGATTCTTTTCCATTTGTTCCTGTAAGTGTTTTTTTATGATCATCATGGGAATGAAAAAAATATTCTTTCCAACATTTCAAAATATACTTAGAAAAGTATCCACTTCATTTTGTTCGTTATCCCAGGCGTTTCCTGGCTACACGTCTCGTTTTTTGCTTCCGTGATAAAGCCCAAATGTATGTTCTCATCTATCAATGGCATATTGGCATTATTTCCAGTTCGACATCCTGGTTGTGTAACGTGGCAAAGAACGTCTCCTTGTGGCATTTTTCGCTTGACTCGTACACAATGAAAAAGGCTACACAAGGGTACGTGACATTGTTTGCGGTCTTGTTTGGGTCGGTTGAAACATTTGGATTCGAACATACGCCAGAAATCGATGAAAAGAAAAAAACCACACCATCGATAGCTTCGATCACATCGTTCAACAGCAATCTTTTGGAAGCAATCTGTTGTGTAGCAAGTTCAAGGTCTTCATTCCGAACTCTCCATGTCGCGCGACATGTGACTGCTCGATGCTTAGGTTTTAGCTAATAGATATAAAAGCGATTATATTTACGTTATATCCAGGTTGCGTACAAAGGTTTATTAATTTTCACAAATCCAAAAACAATTTGATGCAAACTTACCAAGGTTAAAATATTTGCTCAAAGCGAGTTTTGTAAACATTTGGAATCAAGTTCCTTTTGTGGTTTGAGTGGCATTTTGTAACAAAAATTGTTGTCTGCAGCGAACGCCTTTCTATATGTTTTAGTATGATTACTGTAATTTACATAGGGAACAATATTTTGTACAATGGTGCTAATGACGGTGTTGATGGTAGCAATGGTGTTGATGGTGCTGATGCGGATGGTGGTGGTGTGGATGGTGGAAGTGCGGAAGGTGTTTATTGTGGTTGTGATAATAATGCTGATGGTAGTGATAACAGTGTTGGTAGTGGTGGTGGTGATGATGGTGTTGGTGGTGGTGATGATGGTGTTGCTGGTGATGTAGGTAAGACGTCTACATGTAGTGAAACAGTTGTGGAGATGAGGAACGTCTTACATGTAAGTTATATACTGTTGTGCAGTAATTCCTCATACTTTGTTCTATTTTGTTTTGACAGTGAAAAATGCATCATATGTCCCAAACCCGTGCTGTGGGTATACATATTTTCTCCTAGAGTTGGATATCAACACTAGGAGAAAATATGCATTACATTTATGTATATGATGCCAAGGATTTTGTGAACAGAAATTCCTAGTGTAAATTTCATACATCATCACTATTCATTGTGTACTATTTAAAACAGTGGCGCAGCTGAGCGTTTTATGTCTGATAAAACACGACAATGAGTGTTTTGCATAGCTTAAAATACGACTACAAAAGAATATTAATTAGGATGAACCATTATATAATCATACTAATTAGGATGAACAATTATATAATGCTACATGTGTTTTATATGACATAAAGACACTCCATATGACATATTATGGCTGACATGATTTGCCACAAGTTTTATGCATTATTAATGAGTATTTTAATTCTATCTACAAAATGCTCCAATTAGTTAAATTGGGTGAACTACAAATTATGTCACTCTTTCTTAAAGAGTTGCACAATTTATATGGAGGAAGATCAAAGGAGGATGATCCTTGGTTTCCTAAAGGGTGTAAATAATTGGGCAGAGTTTGTGTCTTGTATCGAACTGGTAATAATTATAATAATTTATTAGCTTATATTGCGCATTTATCAACCATACAATTTTCAAATGCGCATTACAGAAGTTAAGAATTTTACAAATATATTACACTAAAAAACCGTTCCAAGCTAATCAAAAGCTTGACGAAATAAAAACGTCTTAACTAATTGTTTAAAATTATTACAGCGCTACAATTTCTAATAGAGTACAGTAGACTGTTCCACAATGCTGGGGCAGTCATACAGAATGCCCTATCTCCCAAAGTCTTAAATGACTTGAGGGACGGAGTGCCAAGTAATAAAGTATTGCTAGAACGAAGACTGTATCTATTAGATTTCTTGAGACTAATAAGGTTACTTAGATACTGTGGAGCCATTCCATGAGTGGCTTTGAACGTAAGTAAAAGTACTTTAAAGTTAATACAATATTTGACGGGTAGCCAATGTAAGTTCTTCAAGAGAGGTGTAATTCAACAATACTTCCATTCCTGAAATATTAGACGTGCAGCAGCATTTTGCACTCTTTGTAACTTAGCCAGCTGACAATTGGGTAGTCCATACAACAAACTACGTCTTATGTTATATAAGAAATAAAACCCAGAGGAACTAGTTCTTAAAATGTGTGTACTCATGGTAAGGTTAGAGTCCATCCATACCCCGAGATTTTTGGCAACAGGTTGAGGAGCAATATCAGTGGTTCCAACTGTAATGTGATCGAGGTTAACCTTGGCGAGTTGTTGTTTAGTTCCGATAAGGAGGAACTCGGTCTTTTCATCATTCAAAAGCAACTTGTCTTCACTCATCCATTTCCTAATGTCTTCAATGCATCGTTCCATTGCTGTGACAGCATCCGATTGCTCAGATTCGACTTTAGGTCTAAATGCAACATACAACTGCGAATCATCGGCATAGCAATGAACGTCTGGTAAGTGCCTCTGAACGATATCAAACAGTTTACTCACATAAATTGTAAACAATAGAGGTCCTAAACAAGATCCCCGAGGAACGCCATAGGCCACATCAAACCTATCAGAGACAGTACCACGAACAGTGACACGCTGAGATCTCCCGAATAGGTATGACTGGAACCAACTGATTGCTGTACCGGAAAATCCTAGTTTAGATGATAAACGCTCTATCATAATACCGTGATCTACTGTATCAAAGGCCGCACTCATGTCCAGAAAAACAAGGAGTGAAACATGTTGTTTGTTCATGTTCATCAGTAAGTCATTTTTCACCTTCAGCAGCGCAGTTTCAGTACTGTGGTTTTTCCGATATGATGACTGTCCTGGTGGATACAAACCATGATCTACCATATGAACATGCATCTGTTCAAACACAGCTCTCTCTGCAAGTTTAGACACAAATGGTAGATTGGATATCGGTCTAAAATTCTTGAAAATGGCTTCCAAACCCAGCTTTTTCTATAAGTTACACTTTTAACAGTCAGAGATGCCTTATCAAATTGAATATCACACAAAACTGAAGCATGGTCAGAGAGGTAGCGGTCAGTAAAAGGTGGAGTTCTTATAATTCTGTCTGTTTGGCGGGTTATAAACAGATCGAGGGTATGTCCATGGGTGTGGGTTGGACTTAACACATGTTGCTGGAGACTGAACGACTCCAGTAAATCTTGAAAATTAATCGCGTCAGAATCATCCAGAGCATTAATGTGAATATTGAAATCGCCGACGATTAGAAGCTTTTCATCCGTCATAACAATTGACTCCAGGAAGTCTGAAAATTCATTGAAGAAAACCTGCGTAGAGACCTTATGCCTTTCAGAATACGGGGGCCGATAAACAATAACAACGCGAAGTTTCTGTGTTGGCTGAAGTTGCACACACCAGTCCGAATACTCAAATGACTCCATTTCATCCGCGTTATTTTTGACTACATTAAGACGGTCTCTGTACAAAAGTGCGGTGCCACCCCTACGACGACTTCTGCGAGGCTGGTCTACAAGCTTATATCCACTAGGACACAGCTCCGCGCGAACAGCAGCATCTACCGAGGTGAGCCATGTTTCAGTAATAGCATATATGTCAGCTTTAGAACCACAAACATAGTCAAATATATCCGCTGACTTATTTCTGACAGACCTTGCATTCAGTAGACAAAAAGACAATTGATGATTAACGTTGCGGATCACTGGCAAACAATTGATCTTAATTAGATTGTTTGGGTTTCGTTCAACAATAGGCACAAACGAACTACTTCCTCGCACAGATACAATTGGTTTTATAGGGCATTGTTGTTTGGAATCAGGTCCTGGATTAAGTTTGAACACTAAATCACCAATTAACAATAGGTGAAATGACGCTGTAGAATTTGGATAGTAAGCACATGGTCGCTTGTGTCTTTTTGTCCGAACAAGGAACAATGAGACAACAGGGCGCTGATGACGTTGACACACAAAAACGACTACGGGATTAGGGTACATGCAAATTAGAGCCCAACACCAAACGCAATGAAGCGATATATTCTTTTCATAACAATTCGTTCCTTTTAATATATAATACTTATCTGTGTCCAAAGTTAACCAATCCCCAGTAAAATTAAACTCGAAAGCCAAGGCTATCTGCCGGAGGCTTACAACAGGAGCTTTCTTTGTACCAAGACAGCTCTTACCATACTCTTCAGTTCGAAAAATATGGTGTGAACTCGGTAATGTCACTGTAAACAAAGCTAGCAAAAATACAGCAAAATAGAGCTCCATCCTGAACTCGGCTAAATACTTTCTCTATGTCATCTATTGCGATCATAAACCTTTCGCTTTATCAGTTGTCGTTGTCCAATCTTTATACAGTAGAATCTTCGTATTACAGTATCAGCTCATATTATCAGCTCATATTCGACATGTTCATATGTTGAAAATCAAAGTGTAAGTTTATATTTACCGTCTCTGTGTTTAATTAAAACTGGTAATTATCCAGACCATTTTGAGCTTTCTAATTTTAAAATGATTATTTAATTTTATTAGTAAGTATGACCAGAGACCGACTCAGTTTGTTTATATGTACTGAACGCTCGGAACCCTAAACTAGAGTCCTTTTCATCGGAAGTACACCTGAAGTTAAAATAATTCAATTTATACACACATACATACATACATATACATACATACATATTTTTTTTTAACACGGGAAAAAACCATCAGTACATCAAAACGATTGCTATTTACAAGCTTGTAAGTATAAAAATAAATGCAATGAATGATTATTTCAAAAGCTGGAAATTGGCGCCAAATTGAGACAAAGCTAAAATCCCATCAGCCAGGATGCTATACCGTTTTCAATTTGATTTTTTAGTGTAAACCATAAGTGTAAACACCTGGTTCGGTGCTTCAAAGCTAGGATAGTGTTACCCTGGGTTAAAATTAGATCCGATATTATTAGAAATTAACAATATACTCGTAACTCGCAACTCGTAGCTCGCAACTCGCAGCTCGCAACTCGCAACTCGCAACTCGCAACTCGCAACTCGCAGCTCGCACTTTAGATAATCTCTGTGGTTTTTATACAAGAGCAAGATAAATTTCCCCGCCATATTGGACTTGTTGTTTTGATTTCCAGCTCCCCCAGTCATCGAAAATCATTAATTGCACCACAGGTGGCCCAATCTCGCAAGGGTCAAGAACCATGCATCGAGACTATCGAGACCATGATCGAGACTGATCGAGTGCAAAGTCTAAGAAAATATATTAGTCCAACAAAAGAAGATTAAAAGGAAAACACATACTATTGAATAGACAAGTCAATTTCACTTTAAAATTTATATTTTATTACATATTTTTACTATAATATACATTGCTATAATATGCAAGTCTATAATGTCGCTTGCGAGATTGGGCCACCTGTGATCTATCACTGGTGGAGAACTTGTTTCTCAATAAACATGTTTTTTTCGCTGTTGTTTCGGTATTAATTCTTTAATAAAAACTTGTATTTAAACTAATTTGTATGTAACAATTTTGCTAACAAATTTTTAACAATTTTCCTAACCTGTCAAAATTTTTTGCGAGTTTTTCCTTGTACTATTACCTTTCTCAAAGCAAATATTTCCCTTTTTCTGCTTCGCAGAGTTGTGTAATTGTACACTCCCTAATATGTTAAGGTGAAAATGTTCTGTTTCATCAGTAAAGAATCAGATGATTCTTTACTGATGAATCTGATAATTCTTTATTGATGAAACAGACTGTTGCGGAATTTTGAGGTAAGCGAAATTATATATATATATATATATATATATATATATATATATATATATATATATATATATATATATATATATATATATATATATATATATATATATATATATATATATATATAGTACAATCTGCAGACATACATGTTTCGGCGTTCAACGCCTCGTCAGTGCAGCTTGGTACACGTCTAGATACGCGAGACACTCGTATTTATACCCCATGAACGCAAGGCATGTGGTACAACACGGTGACTCAACATCATCCAGACATGCGCAGAGCGTAATGGGGCCAGAGTGCTCAAACGACCATAAGGGAAGTGAGCTTTGCATTATCGCTAATAGACACCCATTAACAACTCCGCAGAGTGCTCAACAACACCGAAGTGAAGGAGCGTAATAGTACAATCTGCAGACATGCATGTTTCGGCGTTCAACACCTCGTCAGTACAGCTTGGTACACGTCTAGATACGTGAGACACTCGTATTTATACCCCATGAACTTGCTCTCACCAAGGCATGTGGTACAACACCGTGACTCAACGCATCCAGACATGCGCAGAGCGTAATGGGGCCAGAGTGCTCAAACGACCACAAGGGAAGTGAGCTTTGCATTATCGCTATATATATATATATATATATATATATATATATATATATATATATATATATATATATATATATATATATATATATATATATATATATATATATATATATATATTCTTTTAATATTGACTGTAAATAATTTATTACATAATATAATACAAACTAGCATAACTAGAGACCTAAATAAAAAGTCTACGAAGATTTCTAGTAGGTCTCTAGCCCGCACTATACAATTATTGTAAATATACTACACAAAAATTTATTGTACATGGGGAAAAATCCTTTAAAAAAATACTATTTATATAATAAAAGGTATTTATAAGAGTGCAATGTTGAAATGGCTGCAAACCAATATTTGTAGACTTTATACAGTTAGTAGCTGTTCGAAACTAATATGCGACATATCTTAATTCCCAATCAAAAGTTTATTCAAACCTAAATTTGAACCTATGATAAATTCCTTTATGTCCATAAGTCCATTTTTGGTATTGATATTTTTATGATCGGCCTCAAAACTTCTAAATGGTTCACCTGTCGCCTTCACAGAATACATGTAACCCGGTGGGCAAGAGAAAAACGCTTCAGCTGCTGACTCGAGCGGATCTTCTAATCTCCAATGAAACAAATAGTTCAGTATACATTGTAGTTTGTGGTTCTCAGTGTTCTGATGTAGTTCCATCAATGAATCGACAAACGTAGCATCTGGATCTTTTTCCAGTTGTTGTAAATGTTCGAGTAGATCTCTGTCAACCGCCAGTTTTAGTACCCTCATTGCCTCAGCGAATTCATTCCAAACCATACGCTTACCATTCACTCGTTCGATCGCTTGTAAACCATACATTTGCCATCGTTCGTTTTCGTTCATCATGAGGCAGTCATGTTGCCTTTGACTTGACAACCATTACAGGAATCCACACAAAGTCTTTCCACTTCATGTGCGACTGCATTCGCATATATTCCTTCCAATAAATTGTAAGATGTGGCTTTTCCATTCAGACACTCCATGACTGATGGAGAACTATGCTTATTACAAGACGCTTGTCGATTTTATACAGACACTTGTATAAAAGTTCTTAAATCAAACAACCAATCATAGCAAGCCAATATTAATCCCTCTATTGTATCACACAGGTGGAGGGACGCTAAAAAATGCCTATTCAGCAAGTTTTGACCGATTTCGCCCGAACATGCCCGCGTGACGTCATTGAATATAATTATGACGTATTGTATACTAATGAGTGACGTCACTACGCACCCTCCCTCCACCACACTCCACCACAAAAATAAGGCCCGAACGGTACCTATATTACTACTGACCATGCATTCATTATTTATGACTGGGGTGGGTCATAAGGTATTTTTGACCGAAAAAGGGGGGCACCTAAAAATATTGGTTCAGAAGGGGGGAAATTATTTATTATAGTGGTATTATAGTGGAGAAAAATTTGACATGTAACGATTATTGCTACCACAGGGAACGAGCAAGGCAGCAAATTTAATTCAGTATAGCTAGCAAAATTCTCAATTTTAATCAACAGATCTACAATCCTGGAAAAAATTAATAGACTTCGTAAATTTTCAAACTTTGTCCCCCTCCCCCTTATACAATGTTGGTATTTAGGTGGCATGTGTTGTAAATCCACTCACCTGAACCAACATTGTTTCGGGGGGAAGGTGAATTTAAGGTGAACTGTTGCTTTAATTGAAAAATGCTCACATTTTCATCATATTATTTTCAAATTTGGGGGTATTTTTCGAAAAGTCTACAGATATTTTTTCCAAGATTGTAGATAGACCCAAAATGCAATGCACAAATACCCAAAATGCAATGCGCGCAGCTAATATGAAAAATAATCGAACATCTACCTTATAACTTTTGCCATAAATTGCCTGAGCCCGAGTCAAATGTCCGAGTCACTAGCTGTTTAGCGGTCTTTGTAGTTCATTGACGTAGTACCCTAACGCTACTCCTAACCCAGGGCCGTAGCTTGGTAATAATCATTATTTTTCCAAAATCATGCAGACCTTTATCATTTAAATAATATACCTTTAAAATACTGACAATTGATTAATTTTAAGAGGCTACATTATCCATGACAAACTGCAAAATGAAAGAATGAAAGATCTGATCTATACAGTACTGTACATTTATTATATTGCTGGGGGTACTATTCTTTAGAATTCATGTGAAGGGGGTCATTGAGTTTTTTTGTGATGCAGGGGGGTGGGGCAAGACACTTTGTTTAGTTATTAATTTAATTTTGCCAACCCACCCGAGGTCATAAATAATGAGGTCCCTGAGACTGACTGGACCAAAATTATTTCAGTCGTTGCACTGGATCAAAATTAATTAAGTAGTGATTTATTTGTATGACATTGACATTTATTTGTATGATTTACGTGTACTTGTATTTATTATTATTATCATTAATTTATTTCTTGAAAATGGCTTTTCAGAAATAATTACATCGTATAAAAATGAAGATTAAATACGTATTTACATGAGTTTATTAGAAGACTTATATATACACTAATATATCAAAATATACATTTGTTTATGGGTATAATAAATCAGTTATTGATAATATTGAGTCGGTTCCAGCACTCTTCATGCAGTATCTCTCTTACTAGTTTTTTAAAAACTCCAATACTTGAACTATCTTTAATGTTATTGTCTAAATCATTCCATAATTTGGTTGCTCTATATAAAAAAGAGCGCTGACCAGCAGCTGTCAGATAAAATGGGATATCTAATTCATCCATTTGTCTTGTCGCCCGACCATGTGTCTGGGATCTAGATGTGAATCTTCTTGCAAGGTATGGTGGTGCTAATCCTTTAAGACACTTATAAGCCATAACAGTATCTTTATATTGCAGCATATAAGAAACAGGCAGCTGTTTAGTTGTTGTAGCACGGGTGTAATATGATCATACTTTCTCGTGCCTGTGACAATTCGTGCAGCAAAATTCTCCACAGTTTGTAGTTTGGCAATATTTTTCTTAGACGTATTTGCCCACACAGATGAACAACAATAGAGTTTGCTGAAGACCAAGGCGTTTATGATCACAATCAAGGTGCGGCTGTCTAGAATATGTTTAACTCGATTAAACTACTTTGCTAATTCTGGCAAAGAGAATTTGTACATTTTGAGACCACGCGGGTAATATGCTCATCATAGCTCAGACATTCATCAAATTCCATTCCTAAATCTCGGGTTGAAGATACCGGTCGTAGTTCCTTTTCAAGGAAAGTCACTCGAAAGTCTTGCACATGATTGAGCATATGTGTTGTACCAAACAGAAGAAGTTTAGTCTTTTCGGGATTGGCAAGTAGGCTATTTGAGCAACACCAGGCAGCGATTCTCCTCAGATCGTCTGGTAAGTTGAATCTCAGCAACATTAATGTCTTTGTATGAGAATGACAAGTAAATCTTAGAGTCATCTATACATACGATTCTAAAGGACATATAATGGGAGTAGTTGGAAGATCGTTTATATAAATACTAAATAACGCTGGACCAAGTATTGAACCTTGAGGCACACCGTGTGTTATCGCACGAGCTTCTGATAGTATATGACCAATCCTCACAGATTGAGTTCTGTCTGAGAGGTAACTCTTAAACCAATCCACAGCTTTCCCATACACGCCCATTGAATGCAGTTTTTTGAATAGCAACGAATGTTCAATGCTATCGACCGCTTTCGACAAGTCTAATAACACAACTGTAGTCAATTCTTTCCTGTCCATGGCATCAAGAATCATATCCGAAACAAGTATATTTAGCACTCTGATGTTTGGTGAGACGTACACCCTTTCTGAGACATATATTCCATCAATTGATTGAGTGCAGCCCGTTCACAGATCTTGAGGCCACAGTAAACACGGACACGGATTGTTAGGTATTTCGTAATCCCCTCCTTTAAAATTGGGATAGCCACCGATTTCTTCCAAACTAATGGAAACACCGCAGTTAATAAGGAACGGTTTACAATCTCGGTTAGGATTGGAAGAATTATAGGAAGAGCATCCTGTATAACAGAGACAGAAACTTTGTCCACGCCTGGTGCCTTATATGATGGAAATGAATTCACGATCTTACGTATTTCATAAGATGATACAGGGCGGAAATTAAACTCATCAGTGTTGTTATTTAATACAAGATTAAATCGCCTTCTTTATCATAAATACTTTATCTTATTCTGAAAGTAACGATTTAATTCCAGACTCAGGAAACCTTGAAATTATTTGCATTGAAATTAGTAAAAGATTTGGTGCCTCCTTCATTGTAAGTAGCTGGTATCGGCCACCTAACTCGGAACTTCAACTATTTGATAATTTCGAACTTTTTTGTTTAAGTGTGACTTAGAAAATAATAAGGAACTGATTCTTGTTGGAGATATGAATTGTGATTTCAGCAAAATGCCATCTGACTCACACTCTCGTAGGTTGCAGTTTTTGTGTTCTATCTTTGAGCTTTCACAATTAGTTGATGAACCAATTAACGAGGGTTACTGAAAATTCGGCTACATTAATTGACTTTATTTTGACTAATAGACCAGAAAATATACTGAGGTCTGGAGTTATTCACCTTGGAATTTCAGATAATAATTTGATCTTTGCCGTGCGGAAATTCAAACTCCAAAAATTTAGACCTACTACAAAGAAGTCCGTAATCAGTAAACATTTCTTAGTTGATGATTTTCGCAGTGACTTACTACAAGTTCCCTGGGATATGATATTTACTCTTTATAATCCTAACGCATGTTGAATACTATGGAAATCGTTTTGCGATGAAATCCCAAATAAACATGCACCACTTCGCAATAAACGAGTTAGATCTAGACAATCTCGCTGGATGTAGATAAAACTTTATTTAAACACGCTATAACCCCTTCAGCATTTGCTGATTTCCAAGAGGGGCGTGATGATAAAATATATACAATAGTTACACTTACATATTAAATTTTACAATTAGTTAAATCATGGTTAAATAAAGATATAATAATAGATTTAAGACTGCAGGCTAGTATCAGAAATCAACGAATTGAATAGATTTAATGAATTTGCGCTTCTTAACTCGCAAGGTAAGCTGTTCCAGAGTTTTGCTTCACTATACCGGATGCTATTTTTCAAGTATTCTGTTTTTGTTATCAGCCATTAACAATTAATGCGTAACAGAGATTTTCACAAAAAAACCCCATGAAATTCAATTCTAGATATCATTGGAGTAAATATCAGAATTTACGGAATAAAGTAAATATAGAAATGAAATTAGCAAAATCCCATTTCTATCAATGCGAATTTCAAAATTGTTCTAGATCGATTGTATAAACCTTGATTGTATAAACCATGAAATACTATTAAAAAAGATGCTTAACTACTTTGGTATATCAGGAATTCCACTAAATTGGTTCAAGTCTTATCTATCTGATAGAGAGCAGCAATGTCTGGTAAACGGTCATTTATCGAGCCCGAGAAAGATAAAATGTGGTGTACCGCAGGGATCTATCTTGGGCCCTTTATTATTTATATTATACATAAACGATATGCCTGACTCCTTAAAATATTTAACTCCATCCCTCTACGCAGATGACACAGAAATTTATCTATCCTCTAAAGATTGTGATGACATTGTTATATTAAAATAAACCTTGATCTTGAAAATATTCGAAAATGGATGCTACAAAATAAGCTCCAAATTCATCCGACAAAATCGAAATATATGTTTATTGGATCAGCGCATAATATTAAACATAAGGTATCTGGTAACCCAATTCTTGTTAATAACGTTCCAATACCCAGGACTGAAAATTATACTTGCCTTGGTGTCAACATTGACGAAAAATTGACCTGGGGAAAACATATTGATATGATATGTTCAAAAGTCAGTGCGGGAATCGGTGCTATAAGACGTATTAGGCCCTTGATATCATCTGCGACACTAAAATTGATGTACAATGCTATTGTGCAGCCCTACTTTGATTACTGCAGCCCTCTCTGGGACAACTGTGGAATAGGCCTCAAGGACAGGTTGCAGAAATTTCAAAATCGGGCTGCAAGAGTAATTTCTAGTGCGACTTACGATGTTCGGTCGGTTGATTTACTTGAAAGCCTGGGTTGGAAACACCTAGAACTAAGGCGAACTTATCTAAAATCTGTTTTTATGTATAAAATTCTGAATAACCACACCGCACCAAATCTAAGAACATCCTTTCGATTGAATAATGAATGTGACAATACCTATGATCTTAGAAATAGAGAAACCGATTTGTCTCTTCCTAAACCGAATACCGATTCTGGTAAAAGATGCTTCAAATATAACGGAGCGGTAGTATGGAATAATTTACCGTATGAGGTAAAAGTAGCGGAATCTTTAAGTTCTTTTCAAAGAACTATTAATCAGGCAAACACTTAAAATTGGCTCGTCCTGTTACCTACTGTATATATAATTCTTCTTTCTTTGTTTTTGTATTTTTAATGTTTACCTGTACTGTATATTTCTCCAAATCACGCCCCTCATGGAAATCAGCTCCGAGTTGTTGAGGCCAGCGTGCTTAAATAAATTTTTGTCTGTATGTATGTATCGAGTGACCTTAAAAAAACTTGGTCGCTGATCAATAGCATCTCGCTACCTTCGCTACCTTCGCTACCCATATTACCTATACCCCTATATGTATGTGTGTACTTGTATCTCGCTACCTTCGCTACCCATATTACTTACATCCCCTATATGTATGTATGTACTTGTATCTCGCTACCTTCGCTACCTTCGCTACCTTCGCTACCCATATTACTTACATCCCCTATATGTATGTGTGTACTTGTATCTCGCTACCTTCGCTACCCATATTACTTACACCCTCTATATGTATGTGTGTACTTGTATCTCGCTACCTTCGCTACCTTCGCTACCCATATTACTTACACCCCCTATATGTATGTGTGTACTTGTATCTCGCTACCTTCGCTACCTTCGCTACCCATATTACTTACATCCCCTATATGTATGTGTGTACTTGTATCTCGCTACCTTCCCTACCTTCGCTACCCATATTACTTACACCCCCTATATGTATGTGTGTATGTGTGTATATACCTATAGCTCACTACCAAATTAACAAATTATCCATTGTATACTGGATGATATTATTAATAACACTGTCTATTAAATATTAATAATTTTGTAAAAACCAATTGACCAATCACAGAACATCTTGTAAGAGCTGCTACATGACCCTACACTACATGGATTTGAAACATCTAACCATATATTTATGATACGTTATCCCAGGAAGCAGGCTCAGCTGTTGTAACTCTAAACTCTGTTAGTATACATGTAAACTACAATATAATATATCGGAGTGTCAACTATTTCTATAAATTTCCTTTACACTACTCGCTAGTCTTTAGACTACAACAGGTCTACAACTAATAATTACATGAGCAAAGTCTAAGATATAAAATTACTTACATATTTCTTAATATAAACACACATGGCATGCCAATGGCTATCAAATAGTGTGAGACTGCGAGTGGCCATTGATATTGTTCTGCATTTTTATAATAATACGTCTCATCAGCAAATATATGGTAATATATTCGAGACGCAGGAACTGTGTAAACAATTCGATATGTTATTTACATATTTAATATACTATTCATGAGACTGACCTGACACGGAGGTGATTCAAACAGCGCTGTTCTTCACAGATCACAACGTGGGAAATGCAAATTATGCCAATAATTACACACCAAAAGCTTTCGATCAGAATTCTTTCGCGCGCGCACCTTTTCGTTAAATGAAACACGTTACATTCGTTCGTTATATACAGAAGATCGTGGTGTGGATCTGTATACAGTCCTGTAGAAGCCATATCTTTCTCCTTGCAACGAGCGGCGATTACAATTTACCGACTATTCGATTACAACGAGGAGCCGACACAACAATAACAAGCCAGCATCGCTCTGAAGTCGATGCGACTATTGCAAACAGTAGCATTTTGCCTCATTCTGATTGGCTTGCTTCGTCTGACCGTAGCAAACCAATCAGTACGCCGTATTTGCAAATTTTTGCAACGGTCAGTTTCAATCTGACCACTGCAAAAATTTCCAAATACAGCGCTATGATTGGTTTGCTACGGTTAAACGAAGCAAGCCAATCAGAATGAAGCAAATGCTACGACTTCAGGACGATGTGATATAGTACTAGTGCAAAACCCGCAAAAACAGGCAGTATTTCGGGCAGAAATTTGAGAAAAACCCGAATTTAATTATCCAAAATGAAATAAAAACTCGATAAAATTGTATCAATATGATTTAGTAAATTTGAAAAAAATTGCACCAAGTTTCAATGAAAAAGTGAAAATATCTAAAAATAGTATAACGTTTTAGTTTTAATAACTTTAAAAAGGTACACCCTGGAAAAATATATCTCGGGGAAAATCTGACCGTAGCATATGCTACGGTTGCAACGGTCTGAATCCGCCCCTGAATACACTGTTCAATACGATACCTATAACTTACAATTATTATAAACAATGCCACACTAGACAACACATGGTTTAGTCCACAATAAAGACAATACAATGAGTGAAAGGCTTTGTACATTTAAAGCTAGTCGTATCTTTATCACATTGTTAAAATTCTCATTTGAATTTTTTTAACATTAAGCATTATCTGTTAGGATATCGATAAGATTTCATCACTGCATCACATCCATCAACTTGCATGAAAATAAATACTTGCTCAACAACAGCTCCACAAGCTTGTCAACATTTTAAAATTTTGTTCTGCTTTTGCACTGTAGTACACTAACATTGTATTGTATGTTGCTTGCCAATAAATTTCATGAATTCACAAATTTTAACGCATTCAACTGCCTCGTACCCAGGCGTCTCTGTAAAAAAACAGTGATGCGCATATGGCGAGTTTACATAAAGTATTGTGGTGAGGAGAGATGGGCGAACTTGAACCGCGAACGCTCATATCCCACCCCCCTTTGCGCTCCTATAATGTGACTAAGTACTTCATATAAACCTCTCATATAGTGACTCGCATGAAATTTATTAGCGCCTGGGTACGAGGCAGCGCATTCAATACAGCAATACAGCATTGCGTTAAATTATTAAAAAAAAAAAAGAGATTATACGAGCCTTACGCATGTGAGGACAGGTCCTTTCTTTCAGTAGATTTTTGGCAACCAGGAATTGAACAAAAAGTTGGCATGGTTGCAAATGTCTCGTTTCAATATAGAAATTTCCGACCGAAATTTTGAATTTATTTTAAGCAAATTGAAAGGGGGGTGTGAATAACTTTTTTCTTCACGTTAGCATTTTAGGTCAGTGGTGTTCACCATAAATTTAGGTCGATTGTGACGTCAAAATGACGTAAATTTGGCCAAAATCCGCCATGTTTTTGGCCACACATTTTTGACTGACGAGGTATTGGAGCACGATGTCCAGATATATTAAGTATAGCTCAGTGGAGTTGATGGGCAATATTTGTTAAAACTTTATTGTAAGGATACCCGATTACTTGTGGCTATTGTGGGTCGGCAAACTTCGACATTAATTTTGAACGATTTTATTTGTTGCACCATGTTAAGGGCGCAAAATAAAATCAGTAAACGGACGTATATTGCCTGATTTAACATTAATCAGGGGCCGCGGAACCGGGGGGCAATGGGGGCATGTGCCTCCCCACTCTTTAAAAGTGAAAAAATGCCCTTTTCGGGGGCTAGAAAGAAAGTGCCTTTTTGGCAGTAGTAAAGACTCTGTAAAGGCCATTGCCGACGTTATAGGGACTCCATATTTTCAGAAAATTTTCGTTCGGCTCGTGAACGACATAAAATCGTTTGATTTTGATCATACTGAATTATTACGAAAGTCACCGAACTGTGGAATCGCATCAAAAATGCGTATATCGGCCACTGCCACAAACGTCTACGACCGCACCTACATAGTTTTGCATGTTTACAATTCTAATTTTGAACAGCCAATCAGGTTCTTGGTTTATTATTATTTATTAATTAAACGTCGATTGGCTGTTTAAAATTAGAATTGTGAACATGCAAAAATATGTAGGTGCGGTCGTAGACGTTTGTTGGAGTGGTCGATATACGAATTTTTGATGCGATTCCACAGTTCGGTGACCGCTTTCGTAATATACAAAAGTGATTCCGCGGCCTCTGGCATTAATTTTACTATCACTGGTTAAAATTAAGCAAAGATTGCTTAAACATTGCTTAAAAATAGTTATAAATTCCAATTCATGTGAATACCGCACAAATTTCGAAGCGCAGTTCTGGTGAAAAAGGGCAACCTGTTGCCCCCGTGCCGCCCCCGCACAGTTTCGGCAACGGGGGCAGTTGCCCCCGCTGCCCCCGTGGCTCCGGCGCCCCTGGGTGGGTCAATCTCGTTCACCGAGCCTGCGATCCTCGGGAAGGAACGCGAGGCCAGGCTCTGGGATAATCCGTTGCCGGAAGCCAGGAATCCTGGCTAAGATTGATCTGTGCATTCCATTTCAACGGCCAATCAGATTCCTCCCTGAAACGGATTATCCCAGAGCTGAAACGGATTACCCCAGAGCCTCACGTTCCTTCCCGAGGATCGCAGGTTCGGGGAACGAGATTGTGTGTGGGTCAAAGTAGACGCTTCCGTTAAAGTGGCTGCTCAGAGGTGGCTGCTGTAACAACCTGATACTCAGGGTTTTCACTTCCGCTAGGAGTAAGTAAGAGTGCGCACTCTTGCGTACTCTTACTTTTCTCAAAGTTTTATTTTGCGCCGTTGATATTTTTCCCGGGGAAAAATGTGCAGAAATGACGGATATTTCCACAAAAGATTTAGGCCAAACCAGGGGATTCTGCAGTCAGAAAGTGCATATTTTTGTCAAATAGGTAGATCACACAGGCATTTTGTGCCGATTCAGAAATCATTTGCAGTTTCTTTTTACACAATACACCCTTTCGATAATTACGTAACACATGCCTTTTGGTCTTGGTGTCTCGCTCTCATTAGTAAATTACGCAAGGTGATTGGCTCACGATTCAAGAGAGCGAGGCTCCCAGTTTTATACCGTGGAAATTTGGACGTGCCGAAGTCACGAAGAAAGCACCGCTCTTCAACATAAAAAGCACTTTAAAACATTTCTACCGTTCCAAAACTTGTTTTGTATTAAAGTCCAGGTATTCTTGTTGATTTTGAGCTTTTAGTCCGTGCTTGAATTATGTTAAAACTGCGAGTTTTTCTGCGTTTCGGCAACGCGACGCAATTTTTAGTGTTTTTGAATGATTTAAGCTGTCTATGAAAGTAAATTTTAAAAAGATATGTGGACCAAATAACTCTCAAAATGTTATAACGGCAACAAATATTGAAAACCACCAAGATCAAAGCTGGCTAGTGAAAATTGAAAAATCGCGCTGCGTTGTCGAAAAATAAATTCAGCATGAGATTGGTTAGCGACGAAATCCGTACCTGGACTTTCCCAGAACGGAGGATTATTTAAGTCCCCCCCCCCCCAAATTTCGAAACCTGAGTGCGTAACATTGCCTATATTCTATCAGAGCATTTTCCCCGAAACAGCAGCATAGTTCACTGACACTGGCCTCGCTCACAAGCCTGGGAAGACATCTTATTTTCGATGACAGGCCTCCGTGCCTAAATAAAGTTCACTAAATAAAGTCTACACGGGAAAAACTACCGTATATAGGCATGAAAAAGAACAATGAATCCTTCAAAATGAGATGAAATCACTTGTGGCAAGTTGATTTGAAGTGTGTCGTTCGGTAGCCTTGTATACTTTACGATTCCAAGTAATACGAGCATAATAACAGCTATACGTTCTTTTAAAGAAACCTGTTTGGCTGTTTAGTTACCTTATGTGTTAATTGGTTTCTTTTAAGAAGGTATATATTGAGTCTTATTATGATCGCCTGTCTTAATGATCGCCTGCATGACTTGTTTGTTCAACTTTACACTCTAACTATAGCAGGATAATAACAGCTACGTTCTTTTAAAGAAACTTGTAAGTGACGCTTGTTTAGTTACTTTATTCGCTGATTTCTTTTTGGGAGGTTGTTGTATTGAGTCTTTTAATGCTGGCTTGTTTGGTTCAACTTTAGCGGTCGGTTTCTTTTGTTCGTCTTCACTGCTAGCAGACTCACTCTCGTATACTTTCTCTGTAACTATATAAACATAAACATAAACGTGAAGTGCCATTGTGATGGAAATATCACACATCTATTTTCAACATAAAATATTTTGAAACAAATTGATCTTTTAAATCTCTTGTTCGTCACTTATTTGAAACCTTTTCAAATTATGGAAAATAGCCGCATTGTGATAAACTAGCGATTTACCAAGTGATTAAGATCTTCACAAGTATTAAGCATAATGCATCTAGTAAATTTCGCGAAAGGATATACCAACTGAGTACACAAACGCACTCTGCCGCAACACGCACCCAGAGTCCTCTCTTTATACATGCAGTGTGACAGAGAAAGACTCTGGAGTTGATACATACAGTGTACATAATATGTAACTTCCACTGCATACTATTTTGTTCTCTGTTGAGTAAATGACATCACAATTAAGGCAATTTCAGAAACATAACAAGATATTGAGAAACGGAAAACCTCATGACGGTTTATTCCAAAATTAAACATGTTTTTCATGACAGACAATGATATATGTAAAAAAAATCAAAAGTAGGTCACTACGAAAGACTGTATTGAATGCTTACGTATCTTTGTACGTTTTATACAAAACACTAGTAAATTAATCATCTGTGAATGTGAGTGATAACATCTGCTAACATAGCGAGTCACTAGTTGTTATATTGCATTTTTCATAAGTATACTTATTAAAGACTTCCTCATTTGCGTAAGTAATTTACCGATTTCAATTCATGCGATGTTTATACATTTTACTACTTTCTCCATCTCTGTCTTTCTGAATGTTTTCATGCATACAGCTCCGTTTTTCCCTGCTGAATATACCAATCCCTCCCCGTGCTTCAACTGCACAGGTGTTTTATACAACTGGAAACATTCTATAAAACTTCTATAATACGTGCAGCAAAACTTACCCATATAACCTTCATCATTTAAATACGTTTTAGACTTGAGTACTCGCTTTCTCCTGCCGCGAATCTTCTGTGTTTCTGGTTTAATATCCTGAGCTTGTTGATCAGGTATTGGTGTGGTATCAGTACCACTGCTACTCTGCTTCGTGTTTACAGAATTATCTAGAAAATATAAATAAGTTTTTATTTAGCATATAATGTACGAGAGTTTACCTGCATGACCTTTGTCACAAGGGCTTCCTAATCGATAATATATATGCATTTAAAAAATTTAACGGGGTAATAAATTGAATCAGCTTGACGTTGAGTGTATGATAGCCTGTGTATATTACTGTAGTATAACTTGCTTGCCATAAATAGAATTTATCATTCACACGATTATTTTCTCAATTTTGTTGGCTAATTTTCCTGCAAATAACAACAGCAAATAACACGTCATCTGCACATAGATGGTGCAACTAATTTGTCTGACCATGCGCATTGGCCAAAATCGTTGCTCAGCTGCAAAAAATGATCTGCTCATGCGCATTAGTTTTGCTTTTGTAAACATGTCACCACAACACCGCGGAAAAACGTCTGCGCATGCACCAAATTATGAAAATATGGCGGGGAATTTGAATAGTCAATTTCTAAAACAAAAACATGCTTATTAATTGGTCAAAAATTAGTAAAATAAACGAGAAAATATAGCAAATGGGTAGACTAGACATTAATTGAAAGCGTCCTGGCATTTAAAGTATGGAATGAAATATAATTCATGTAAAAAATTGTTGATTTTAACGGACACGACTTCGAAAATTTTTGCAAAATTATTCAAAACAAAAATTCAAACTCAAAAGTTAAGAAAACTCTCGAAAAGTTAAGCTTCTTAACCCACTCAAATTGTAGAATAAATCCTAAAGTTTAATTATTGTGAACACGAAAATTTTTTATATTTGGCGACACAGTTTTTTTTAAAGAAATGTATCTCAAACGAAAATTCGGAAATTGTCGTTGCTTAGTTGATAAACAAAATGTTTTACACGATAAATTTGTCAACAATCACCTTTAGTTCATGTTCTTGTACAATACAATTTCTTGAATCTTCTGGCTGTATTTATTCCTAGTTTTTAGAATGACATGTTTATTTTTGCGCTCGAAATCTGGCTGTAAAGACGCACAATGAAGTCATTCCTTTTTACCGCCATTTTGAGCCTTCGGAAACGTTCGGAACAGCTTCTCATCAAGTTCACAATACTATTACAGGTAAGGCTGACGCATGCGCAGACGTTTTTCCGCGGTGTTTGTCACCACAGCATGCTTATTTTTCCGAACTTTTGCAAATTTGATAAGATTTTGTGTTTGCTAGATTTGGTTCAAGTTCGTCCAAGGAGAAAAGTAGGGAGAGACGGACTTGGGACATTTGCAGCATTTCGAATGTTACTTGCAAAAATTGGCGCGAAAATTTGTTGTTGTTGTCAACTCGCAAGTCACGCCTCCATAGGAAACATCCGACGGTAAATTTTGGCGCGCTTGCAAACGTCCCAAGTCCGACTCTCCCTATACTTTTCTCTCATATTTTCGCGCCTTTTTTCACCGCTCGTGCATGCGCATCGCTATTTTCAAGAGAGACGGACTTGAACCCATTCTACATATGTGTTTGCTTGAGTTAATGTATTTCGCTAGTGAGAAATGATATATGGTTGCACCGTTGTGATAGTAAACCTGTTGAAGCTGAGCAACGAAAATATTACATGGACAAATGCAATGAAAAACAACGACAAGTATATAATTAACTTTTTACTTGTTACGCTTTTCCTTTTCCTTTATGGAATGAATGATACTAATATAATTAATTGTCGCAAAATCAGTGGCTCGCAGATCAATTATTTGTCTCTGCATTCAGCATGGGCTAACAATCGATCTGCTCGTCACTGACAAATCCAGATATTTTGCTGAACCTCGTCCAGTTCTTGTGTATTACTTGCCACTAGATCATGCCACGTAAAACGAGAAACAATTATATGACGAAAGTGTTTGCTTTGCCTTCGGAAACTCCATTATTTTCCCTACAGATAGCCGAAGTAATAACTTGCCATTACTTCTAACGGCCTTAGTACGCATCTGATTGGTTGATCGGATATATCAAACGCATCTGATTGGCTATAGTGGTCCCTTAATGGTAGCGGTAGTGGAAGTCAAATCTGAACTTCACTATTGAAAGAGGACAGCCGAATTGAATGCGCTAATTACCTTCCTCCTCACTGCTTGTATCAGAGAAATTCTTAACTCGCTTTCTCTTTTTCCGCTGTGTTTTTGTTTTCCCTTTAGACTCTAAACAAACGAAATGTTGCAGCTTCATGATTAAGTATATTAAAGGGGAACACTATAATACACGATATTGTAAATACCGTTGCATGTGACACATTAATAAGAGGTGTATATATATGATACATTTATATATCTATATACCTTCACTTTCTTCTTTCGATGAAGTTTTTCTTTTTTTACTGGAAAACATGAATAGTGTATTGAAATTTGTGAGAGTCAGAATGCTTGTTACAGTATTAAATTACGGTTGCACGCATGCATGTCTTATATATACATGAACTTAATATTGTACAGGACAAAATAGGGGCTGATTACCAGATGAATTGTTAACACGCTGAAACTTCAGTCCAGCTGATTAAGGTGTGGCATGGATTTTAATAAAAACACCGTATAGAAACTTGAATAGACAAATTTAGCTTGCACGACAATTAAATGTGAAGTGACTATTGTAGCACACGTTTCATAACAGATTCTTTGTTCGCTACTAGCTTAATGCCATTTCAAGCACCTTAAGCTAACAGCATCAGCTGAGAATGTCGTGATTTCTTACGTTTTTTACAAACAAAATCATACACCTAGCACTAGCTCTGTGGTAAGCGCGTGTTTCATTTTCAAATCTTCTTACATCAACAACTGTGATGAAAACGTATTCTGTACCGAAAATTACCCATGTATGTAATCAGCTGTTTAATATAAATAAAAAATTATAATTGTAAATAAAGTACAGTATCTTATTGTACCTTTTTGTTTCTTTCCTTTCTTCCTTTTCATTTTTCTGTGAAATAACGGATAAGCCGTTGTGTGTAAAATTTTAACATTAATTTACTATCCAGGGTCTGGTTGTTCTAAAGCTGGTTAGCTAACCCTAGGTTAAGCTAAAATTCACAGCACACTTCCCAACAGCTTGTTTATGAATAAGTTCTTTGTATGTTTGCATAGCGATAAAATATAACAGTTTTGTTTGTGGAAACACCACGTAAATTTATTATTGCAAAGCTTTCGATCCGTAAGCCCGGATCTTCAGCAGTGCTAATAATATGCATATTATTAGCACTGATGAAGATCCAGGCTTACGGATCGAAAGCTTTGCAGTAATAAATTTACGTGGTGTGTCCACAAACAAAACTATTATAGCTTGTTTATGAACTTGGAAATATTTCTTCAGAAATCTTGTGTGGATCAATACGAGTTTTCTTTTCTGAAGTTTTGAATAAACAGACGTGCAAAGATACACAAACTAAAACAGCAGGTTAACTTTTAATCCAGAGTTAGCGCTAATCCAGCTTTGAACAACCGGCCCCAGGGTAATAGCTTATATAGGTCTTGTATAACAGCAACACTTACATTTTGTTTTTGTGTTTTTCGTGATTTCTTTTCGCCTGTTAATAATTGTTCAACAAATTCGTTAAAAGAAACATTAATATCACGTATGAAATCATATATTTACTTTCTCACATTCATGCATGATTTGAAAGGATGTCATGGTTACGTGATAGACGTAATAAGTAAAAATTCTGTCATTTAAATATAAGTAATATAAGCATGAACACTGACAGATAAAATGATTGGCTACTGATTCTCATGTTAAAATTAGGTCAAAATACAAGAAAACCACTTCGGCTTCTGTAAGTTGTTCTGATTATATTAAATGTTCTCTTTTCGTCCCAGAGAGCAAAATATTGTTTCCACCCCTGGTCAAAATACAAGAACCTTCCCATTTCAGCGGTTCGACTTGTGTAAGTTGTTCTGATTATACTGTAGTGGTTATACATAATTATGGTGTCGAGAAAGTTTAAATTCATCAACTTTTAATTATGTGTTAACATGCAGTCATCTAACGAAAAATGCATTCTTTGTCACAA